AGCTCACAAAAGAATTGGGAGGGAGAGGGAGAGTGAAACAACTTTCTTGATCACCACTACCTCAGATTCAGATAGCTAGTCTTCTTAATACTTACTGTTTTTTCTCTCTCTTTTTTTTTTTTTAAAGATGACTGGTAAGGGGATCGATCTCAACCCTTGGCTTGGTGTTGTCAGCACCACGCTCAGCCCTTGAGCAAATCGGCCATCCCTATATAGGATCCGAACCCGCGGCCTTGGTGTTATCAGCACCGCACTCTACCGAGTGAGCCACGGGCCGGCCCCTGTTTTTTCTCTTTTAACCCTGAAGATAACCCATGAGTAAATGCTACGTGTTATGCCCCTGTCACAGATGAGAAACTGAGGCTTAGAAAGATGAGACATGGAGGGCCGGCCTGTGGCTCACTCAGGAGAGTGCGGTGCTGATAACACCAAGGCCACAGGTTCGGATCCCATATAGGGATGGCCAGTTGGCTCACTGGCTGAGCGTGGTGCTGACCACACCAAGTCAAGGGTTAAGATCCCCTTACCGGTCATCTTTAAAAAAAAAAAAAAAGAAAGATGAGACATGGTAAGATAACAAAAACACAAGCTTGGAGCAGAATTACAAACCCAGGTCTTGTATTCTCAACCCTATACCAGTATTTCCAACCACTGGTTACAACAATTTAATGGGTTGTCAAATCAATTTAGTTTATCATGACCAGAAATTTTAAAGATTTCAGCATAGAACAGAAAATTAGCCAAGAACATGTAGAGAGTAAACATTATTTCATGATATTTTTCAGTTATATGTGTATATATGTACTAGGTCACAATGTAAAACATATGTCTTAATGTGAGATACTTCAAAAATGTATGAAAATCATTGATCTAATATTGCCTCCCAGGGAAAAAATAAGCAGATTAATTAATTTTTTTTTTTTTTTTAAAGATGACCGGTAAGGGGATCTTAACCCTTGACTTGGTGTTGTCAGCACCACGCTCAGCCAGTGAGCGAACCGGCCATCCCTATATGGGATCCGAACCCAGGGCCTTGGTGTTATCAGCACCGCACTCTCCCGAGTGAGCCACGGGCCGGCCCCAAATTAATTTGATGTGTTTTGTATCATATCTTATACATAAAATAGAGTTCCTGCTCTTCAAGAACTTATCCTTTCTTTCCATCAACAGAAAATTTCAGTGGTATCCCAAGGTTGTCATTAATACCTGGTGAGTTCAAGCCACATCAAAGCGCATCTGTCAATTAGCAGAAAAACAAAAGACAATTGCAAAAACTTTAGAATTACATCATTTTAGTTATTAACTGGCTATTTAACGTAAAAGCAATTCCTCTCAAAAGGTATCTTTAAACCACATTTAGGCAGGGAAAGGATGGGAGCCCACGAAGCCTCACGAAAAGTTAGGTTACCAGTGTTCTTCACAGACACCTAGTCTCAAATCAAAACTCAATTTAGGGCCGGCCCGTGGCTCACTCAGGAGAGTGTGGTGCTGAAAACACCAAGGCCGCGGGTTCAAATTCTTATATAGGGATGGCCAGTTAGCTCACCGGGTGAGCATGGTGCCGACAACACCAAGTCAAGGGTTAAGATCCCCTTACCGGTCATCTTAAAAAACAAACAAAATAAACCCTCAATTTAAATATGGAGAAATGCCAAAACATATCTGTAGCCAAAGTCTTCAAGGCAGATCATTTTTATTTTTATTTATTTATTTTTTTCCTTTTTGTCTTTTTTCGTGACCGGCAACGGTTCGCAACCCTCAGTGTCGCGCCCACACCTCACTCAGCCAGTGAGCGGCCAGTCTGTATGTGGGATCCGAACCCTCAGCGGGAGCACCTCCGCGCTCCCAAGCGGTGCACTGTAGCAGTGCGTCACCGGGCTGGCCCGAGGCAGATCATTTTTAAAAGTATGAAAAGAATCTCCATACTCCCCATCTTTAAACAGTAATTTCAGCAAAGCCCTTAAAACACGTAAAATTGAGGGCCGGCCTGTGGCTCACTTGGGAGAGTGTGGTGCTGTAACACCAATGCCATGGGTTCGGCTCCCTATATAGGAATGACTGGTTAGCTCACTTGGAGAGCGTGGTGCTGACAACACCAAATCAAGGATTAAGATCCCCTTACCGGTCATCTTTAAAAAAAAAAAATGTAAAATTGCCTTACCCACAATAGCATTCAATGAACGAATCAATAAGTCACTACCTTAGTCTCTCCTTTTTAACACTTATCCAGTAACTAAAGTGAAATTTTATTTAAAATATGAAGAGAATTATGGAATAAAGATAAATTGGGAGACAAAAAGCAGAAACCAGAAGAAAAAAGTAAAGATGTCTTCCATGGTCAGGATTATTTTGGAAACAACTTCTTTAAAAGATGAAAATGAGGGGCTGGCTCAGTGGCGCACTCGGTTGAGTGCGGCGGTGCTCCGGCCGAGGGTTTGGATCCCATATAGAGACCGGTCCGCTCACTGGTTGAGCGCGGTGCGGACGCGACACTGAGGGTTGCGATCCCGTTGCCGGTCACGAAAAAAAGACCAAAAAAAAAGGAAAAAAAAAAAGATGAAAATGAGGGGCCGGCCGTGGCTCACTCGGTATAGTGCGGTGCTGATAACACCAAGGCCACGGGTTCGGATCCCATATAGGGATGGCCGGTTTGCTCACTGGCTGAGTGTGGTGCTGACAACACTAAGCCAAGGGTTGAGATCCCCTTACCGGTCATATTTTTAAAAAAAAGATGAAAATGAAACGTTCCCTTGCCTGCAAAATTCACGTCCCACTCAAATCACCAGTAGCAAATTCTTCATTTCATTCCACAAATTCTAAGGCTGGCCAATTTGGTCAGGTGGTTAGAGCACAGCCTTTCAATACCAAGGTCACGGGTTCGGATCCCTGTACCAGCCAGGCACCCGCCCCGGCCACCCCAAAAAAGCGCATCCCAGAAATTCTATATAAATTATCTTTTGTGCAACCGTGATGACTTTCCTCACTGCTTATGAAAATCTATTGATTGCTGGAAAATACAGGGAAAAACAGAATCCCTCTGCACCGTTAGCTGGTAGAACTGTCCGCAAATGCTAAGTTGATTCGCGCTAGAGCACTCGGCTTTGACAGCTTTCCGGACCCTCCTGACAAACTCTATAACAGCCCTACTCCATCTCTAATTCTGGTTGTCTGGAGAATAAGAAACATCCAACTCAATATAAAGTGCTGATAATCAACTTTCGAAGGTCAAAGGGGACCAGTTTTTAACCTTCCCTCAACACGTGTTCACTACAAACTTCCGGGTGCGATTACAATTGGCTGCGCAATTCAATGGATCAAACGTTGCTTTATTTCTCTTATTTTCTCGCCAGTTCTTTTCCCACGTTTCTCAATCAGCGACTCCCCAAAACAAAAGCCTCCCACAGTAAACGGAGCACGCACATAAAAAGAGCTTCTCTGTGCGAGGATCAAGTTAGTGGTCCGCAAACATTAACCAAACAGAAGCACAAAGCCGGGGTGGAAAGGGGAGGAGCTGGATGCCAGGGTCAGGAAAGAAACAATCACAAGGGTTCAGGAACATCTAAATCTCCTCAGCGGTTAAACCGAACCCAAACCTCTTCTGGGAAACCACCAGCATACATGGCTTTGAGGAACTTTAGATGCCAGTTATGACAAGCACTCACAAAAGTAAGCAAATTCCCGACCGCCTTTCCCCTCCATCTCTACCCTTAAGGTCTGGGAGGTAAGCTCGCTTGCTTGAGGCAAAGCTAAGCTAATCAAGGGGTGAGGCGTGAAGGTAGCCCCCATGTGTCCCACGCACCTTCCCCACCGCCCTAAGAGCGGGGTACTCAGAAAACCGCCGGTGTGGGGCTCAGACTGAGGAAGGACGACCGCGTCGCCTCCCTCCCTCGCCCTAAGCCGGGAGCAACGCTAGGACAGAAGAGACTTGAGGAGGTTCCGGACCTCATTTTCCCCGCGGGTCCGGGACCTCGCAGCCCCCAGGTCGTGTTGGGGAAGCAAAAGGGGCGTCCAAATGGAGCCAGCGTGCGTAAACCCTGTCTCCCCGGTCCAACGGGGTGCCTCCCGGCCCGGGACAACGGAGCTCCCGGGGCCCGAGAGCCCCACGCGCGGCGACAGCAGGGCCCGGCGCTGACGGGCGGAGGAAGCGAGTACAGCGGGGCCGCCGCCAGGACCATGCCTCCAAGGGCCCCGGGGCGGGAGGCTGCGGGGGTCGGCAAGCTGGGAGGGAGGCCCCAAGCCGGGGTGAGGTGGCTGCCCCCCCCACAGCCCGGCCCCACACTGCCCCCCGAGGAGGGTGGGAGTGGGAGGCTGTCCGGGAGGGCGAGTATGGAAGGAGAAAAGGGCGAAGGGAAGGACTTACTTTCCCGGCGGGACCCGACGCCGGAACAGCTTCTTCTGGGCAGTGAGAGCTTGAAGAACCAGAGGCGACTGGAGCGGAGGCGGCGGTGGCGGCGGCAGCAGCGGCGTCCGGCTCTGCCTACCTC